TTCACATAGATAATCCTTGCCAAGCAGTGAAATATACATTCTTTCTATCAATCCGTTTCAACTATGTATAATGATTTCTAATATTTATTTGATGGATTCAACGCGAGCGAAGCCGCGGGTTAAAGCTAGTTAAAAAATATTTATTTAAATCAATTTTAAGCAGATTTAAGCTTGATTTGTTAATCAATTTTCCATAGGTAAAAAACAAAGTTGTGTTAATTACAGCGTTTATAACTCAAGAACGGTTGAACAGATTTCAATGATCTATGAATTTTTAGATTCCTCACTGTCCCGAACAGAAGAATAATTATTAAAATAACAAAATTTGTGTTTTAAATGGTGTTAAATAAGGGATGAAAGTTGGTATAGAGATTTAGTCATAGATATAGTTAAATAATTGAATCATAGATGGCGCCAAATATCCGGACCAAGTTATAGCAACTCCCCTTCTCCAGTTATAACTAGGGTGACCCCTCTAACTTCATTAATCTTTTGTAGTTATTTCAAAGAATACCAGATAGCGCTGCTAAAACTTCTACATAAAATAATCCCCTCTAGAGAGTATATAAACCAGGTAGTTTTCAAGTTTCATCACTCTGGTTTCCCTTCAAAGCGAATAAATCTTTCGCCTTTTANTTTCCCTTCAAAGCGAATAAATCTTTCGCCTTTTACTAAAGATTTCCGTGGAGGGGAACAACTCAAATGAGTCTGTAAATAATTTTTTACAGGCCCAGCAATTTATTGCAGGGCCATCTAAAACAATCTAAACATAAATACTACTTTTCCTCATTTTTAAACCAACAGAAAAAAGAATTTTTTTAATTTTTTCGCTCTAGGGAGTTATTATCCATTCATTTTTGGTTGGGACAATGAAGTAACAAAATTTAATTAAACAGAGGACCTGTACATCAGGGACACACATGCATATAACATGCAGGGCTCCAGGGGAAATTCAGTATATTTTGTTCACGCTTCGCGTTTACCTCGAATTTTGGCCCATCAAAATGCGATATATTCGTTTAACACGAGAGCATGACACGTGAAATTAATACCATTAATCAGAAACAGTCTAGATGAACAATTAATTTAAAATATGACATCGCAACATTACAAATTATATAAAAAAAAAGAAG